ATTATTATTGATTTATTCTAAGCTTCATCAGGTTGTTGTGCCCTAGGCATTCGTGATGAGCCATATCCCAACAAAAAGAGCCCTCGAAACGAAACAAGACGGCTTCAGAGGTTCCGATTCGACACACTCGGGGAGCCACCAGGGGGTTAACGAAGTCGAGAGCCTTCCCATCGACACCCCCTGACACTGACGGATATGCTGCGCGCAGCTCCTAATTACCCTCCCGCCGAACGAGGAGGCTGAGTGATGCGCGGCAGGCTCTCTCTGGCAGAATAAAAGGGCCGGGGAAAGATGACGATCGATTGACAGCTGTTCTGGATCGATGCGCCAGCCTCAGCGCAGATCAGCTTTCTCCCGTTAACACCAGAGCCTCTTGTCTTCTCCAATAGACTTCCCCTGCCTTGCTGGAGCTGCAAGACACTGGAGTTTATTGATTGTTTCCATTGCGGTTTAATTGCAATTAATGGTTGTAAATGGTCGGATTGGGTTTAATGTTGTCACATTCCAGTAGGCACTAGACGACATTATTGTGCAAACTTACACTCCATTACTTCCTCACATACTCCAAAACATGCAATGTGAAAATTACGAAATGGCATTAAGTGTATTGCACAGCATTGTTGATTATTTTCTTAAGAAAAACAGGGGTTTTAAAAACACCAGAAATATACTATACATATACGCATTGGTCTGTGCATCTTGAATCGTAACAGACCATACTGTATATTTCCAGATCTTTTTTAAAGAGAAAATGGATTGCTTTCAAGTAAGACTCTACTAACTTAATGATTGCTTTGATTTTTCATTGCCATTTCATTGTTTGATTTACTTAGTGACTGTTATTTCATGACGGGCTGAATAACTGCCCTGTCCCACATAAAGAGTATAGCTCTGACCACAACTAAGATTCCAACATGGCTGCTCATGAGTATCCATGCCTTCAGGATCATGCAGCCAGAACAGCAGGGAAGTCCCCTACTCCAAAAGGCCAGGCCTCCTAAGTTTCCAAGGGAGTGATGTCACCTTCTGTAACAGGTGCAATGCCCACTGAGCCCTGATACAACTGTAATGAAAACCATGAGAAGGGGCTCAGGGAGACTACTGGGGCCCATGTGTTGAGTTTTTAAGAAAACTGAGAAAGAATCTCTTTCTTCAGTGAGCGAGAGAGCAGTTTTGTATTTCTGTTTCTGTTTGATCTTATAATCCTGTTTTACTGGATGTATGATTTTGTGTTTTTCTCATCTTACAGGCATGCATAACTGCAAAGCATCCACTAAGCCATCCAAATATCCGCTAAGTTGTTTTAGAGTCCCTGAGCACATGTTTTTCTAACTTTAACGCATCACGGTAAAAAGAACACAACCCTGTGAAGGGTAATGTTTGCTCTGGGGATCCACTTGTTCCTGCGGTATATGTGAGACAGCCTTCTGTAGCAGCCCGACACAAAACTGATTTGCAAATGCACATTTTTCAGCCATTCTGAAGTATCCTCATCAACCACCAATAATAGAACTGAGCCACCGCCTCAGTCCTGTCTCCAAGCAGCTGAACTGCACAACCCAAGGGACAGACCTGCTATGACAAAATATTGGTTCCCAGGCACAAGGAATTAAAATGACCTCCAGGGAAGTGACAGAACTAAGATTTCTGCTACACCAGGGAGACAATGACCTTGAACACTGCATCATCCTGGGGCATGTTTAAGGCCTTGCACTCTGCCCTCAGGATCCTATAGTTACCAGCTGTAGAGGTTTTCGTAAAGGCTGCCCTGGTCCTGTATGGCTGATCCCCTGTGCGAAATATAAAGTACAGATTCCGGGAGGAGATGCTAATTCTCAGATCATGAACTGAACTTCAAAGCTCAGGCACCCTGAATTTTGCATGATTACCTTCAATGCACCGCAAGCTCTGGTGCAAGGAGATTCAGAGGGAGAAAATCCAATGCTGATTGCTGCCTTCCTATGCCACGTTTCTGAAAAAGTCTGCATCCGTCTCGCAGCCGTGACACGGGGGTGGGTGCGGGGAGGGACGCTGATGCTTTTCCGATGTTAAGAGCCCCCCGCAGCAGCCGGGAATGGTGGGTGGGTATCATCTGTAAAAAGGTCCTCCTGCTGGGATTGAGTTTCCAGCAAGCTGATAACTCCTTGCTTAATGCTCCAGCACTCGATGGCCCCCCTGCACCAGTTGTGGCAGAGCTCGTGTGAACATGGGGAGGGGAAGAGTAAAAGAGAAGGAAAGAAACATGGAGGATCGCACAGTGACAGCCTGTGCAGTACAGTCTCTTCACATGGATAGAGGACTTTAGATTCCTGCTGATATCTGTCAAGTACTTTTTACAGGCACTTGAAGACTATAATGCAGTTTTAAAAGCGCTAAAACACACACAAAGCTAGATAAAAGGTATTTTAATCAAACTCAATTCAGACAGACCTTCTAAAACACTAACTAGCCCCTTTATGCAGCTATAGGTGTGAATCCGAAGCACAGCACAGCTTTTAATAACCCCCAGCCCTCTGGACAATTCCTATCTCCATTGCCCTGTTCATTCAAAACCTTAATTTCCTCCGCTAAATAATACGTTCGCGGGAGCTGCATTCATTCCGCATTAGCAGGAGATATCTGGAACAAACATCTTTAATTAAAACATTCCGACAACGTCCCACTTTGATGTCCCACTTTATTAATTCCACCGCAAAAAAAAAAACCCCACATACACACAAAGGCCTCCACAGAGCAAAGAGAACTACAGCAGGTTGGCGATAGACTGCCCCCCCCCCATCTTAATTACAACTTTTCTGCTCGAGAGCTGCTCAATTACAAGTCAGTAAGTACGTTTTTTTTTTCTTTCGGGAAAGATAAAAAAACAACCACTTTTAATGAGTTCCACTTCAATTAGTCATGTTATAAATGGCTTAAACCGTTCCAGCTCCGCTCTTTTGTCTAACGGGCCATTGTTCTCGCAATCGGGATTTAGGGGAGAAAGCGATGGTAATGGCCCTGCAAGGGCAATAATCATTTTTAGAAACAGAATCGGATTATGAGTAGGTAATCCGGGCAACAAGTTAAAAAGAGACGAGGACTAAAAGCAGGCCTATAAGAAAAAACCCCACAAAATCTGTTCTACTGCATAGGACGACCCCCAGCTAAACTATACAGTTGATGTATTATTGCAATAGGTCACCTCTGTTTCTAAAGTAGCCCCCTCTTAAGTCTTCAGCCTACTACCAGGGTCTTCAAACAGAGGTCACATGATCAAGCAGCACATCAAGATACTTTACCTGATCTGTTTGCTTGGTGCACAGGTTTTCATATACAGTATGGCTTACAGTGTCTGTAACATGAACAGTAGAGTGTTTAATTGCAACATTGACTGTCCCGCAAACAACTACAGATAAAGCATGGTGCGAAAAATGACTATGACTCATCCGACGCTTTCATCCAAAGATACTTACATGTGTACCAATTCATACGCTGGGGCATTCTACTGGAGATCTGAGTGCAGGATCTGCAGTAGCTCAAAGTCCTCAGGGTACAACAAGACATCAGGCACAGAGGCTCTAAATTCAAGGTCTCAGTTCAAGGGATAGGCACAGATCCAGGTCTGTTCACTTTTCTTCCTAATATCTTCCCTATCTACCTGCATTCTAAGCTGCAAATGTCAGTTTCTCAGCCACCCCTCTTTCGTAATTAACATCTCGTGGTGTAATTAGCAAACAGGAGCTGAAGGCTTTAGTGCAGAGCTCATGTGGGATTCACGTCGCTGCTTAGGGGAAACAGGCACAGCGCCTGCAGATCCCCTTGGTATTTTCTGGAAGTCACACTGGCGTCTTCCTATTCGATATTCCAGTCTCTCACCTCCACAAAGCAATTAACTCCACGTTTTTCAGCGGACAGAAAGCTTTTTTTAATCTTCACCCGAGCTCAGCAACAAATGCCAATTCGTTTCTGACGGGTCGGCTCAGACGACCTACTAAAATTGTGTGCCTTCGGCAATAATGCTGAACGGTCCTAAATAAGGGAAACCTCACAGGTTTGTCTGCATTGTAATAAAGAAACAAGGTGCAAAATACTGATCCATGTACCCCCCCAACCAGTCCAAAAAAAAGTTGGGCACATTTAATATGCGCAGTCACTTCTCCCCAGCAGCCACTGCAACCTTTCACGTTGGCTGTCACAACCCAAGGAGGTGATGGGTAACTCATACAGTATGACTCTTTTTATTCAGCTGGTAATGTTTATTCTTATTCCCTCACGAATGCATGCCGGTTACTGTCCGCCTCTCGCGGTGCACAGCTGTTTAATTATTTACACATTGTCGAAAGTGAAAAATTATTTGGAACAGTCCCCTGTATGGAATATATATATATATATCAGCCTAAGCAATTCAAGGGACTTAAGCTTATTCTGGTATCTGTAGTTAAAGGAGAACATACCACAGTATTCCTTCCTGGATGAACTGCTAAATGGAAAACATCCACCCATTTATTTCCTACCTGCTTTATCCAAAACAGGCAAGCAGTAGGCCCAAAACGGAAGACATAGAAGTATGATTTGAAACACTGGCTAAAAATGTCTGTACAGCACACTGCCACTCAGGGACACCAAGGGAAACTTAATTCAAGAACTTCAGGCATGAACAGGTAATTAATCAGGATTTGTCTTTCTTCCATGTAATTACTGCATCCGCTTCAATGAGTTCCTTATTCCCCAGCCCCTTGGAGAGACTGGTGGCTCTGTACCAGTTGCTAACTGTTCTCTTAGTCAGACAACATTCCCCGTATCTCAGTGCCTGTTTTGATGGAGATGCTGTACCTACTTGCCTTGCTGTCACTAGACTACCATATTATAACTCGACTTGAACTGGACACTGTTATCTCACTGGAGCTTCTTGGTCCAATAGGAGGCCACTGTCCGTCTCTCTCCAGCTTGTTCATCTACTGCCGCGCCTCTCTCCTTCCCCACTTCACACTCAAGCTCTGCAAAAGGGCAAAGCACGATGATAGCCATACATTTTGTTGGGGACACTTCCCTATCTCCCTCGCTCCCACTTTGTTGGATACAACACAAGCCTTATATCCTTGTCTTCTCCCTGAAAGGAGCGTTCTCTTGCTTTGGTTCGTATTACATTGTTAGTGTAAGGTGGGTCTTATCAAGTTATCCGCAAGTTTTAACAGGAGACCGAGCCTGGACACGCGCGATGGTGTTCACACACAGATAGACGCGACCCTAAATCTTCATCATTCTGCTTTCAACACCGGTTCTGATTACGGTCCAGAAAGACCTAAAACCCAGAGTTCAAATAGCTAGTGTACTATCAGTTTTATTCAAATAGGCTGAGACACATTTCTACTTAGAGAGTGGCTTTAATGCAATGCAACGTAAAATTTTATTGGCGGGTTTAACAGCCGCAAAGAAAAATATCCCTAACCTCTTGGTTGAACCCTTTACGGTCACATTGCATTGCTGGTTAATTGTGTTCAGGGACGTAGCTCATCTTGAGTGGTTAACAGATTAAATGCCGTGGGCTCACATACATTAGTAGCTTGGTCTCTGTTTCCCTGGCCCAGTGACTGTTAGAGTGAATGAATGAGCATTTTTCAGTTTTACTGTTTATTCGCTTTCTGTGTTTGAGCTCCTTATCTATGCAGTGGTCCCTGGCATTTCTGCTGTTTTCATGGGTTTTTTTTCTTTTGGCTCACACAAAAACCCAGGGTGGAATCCAGCCAGAGCGCTGCTTTGCTGACCAGGACCTCTGTAATGTCCCATTCTAAGGGTGGCACCTGCTACAGCATAGTGTTCCCCGTTGCCCGATCCCATAGGCGGAGCTGGCCACCAAAAAGGCCGTTTTCAGTCCGACAGCATGGTCGGGCTTTAGACCATGAACATACCGAGACTGGTACGCAGAATGCACACCTACAGCACAGTGGAAAAACAAAGAGGCAAAACAGGGACGTGCAATGATGAATTTGATCATTTTCTTCCGCAGTAGCTCCTTTAACTGTGCATTATGTCTGCAATTTCCCGAGCCCCATGCAACTGCCTTACCCAGGCATTAATATTTACAGCTTTTTTATTACTCAAATAATTGACACTAATTCTTTATTGCTAAGGCATCAGCAGCAGGGGGTTTCTTTTTTAAAGTTATGCTCTCGTTTTCAAAAAGGAAGAAGATTGCTGCTCTTACTCAAGGTGGGGTAATCGGATTGCTTGGTGGCGTGTTTTGGGGGGGGGACAGTATTGATGACATCTTTTTCCCCGCCAAACTCAGGGGACACATGCTTCCCGTGCTTTCGGGGAAATCCAATTAGGTGATTAATTACAGCTCGGGGTGCCGGTGACAGCCTCTGCGGCGGCTCCCAGGGCGAGTGTTACTCCGCGAGACGGCAACAGCATCCAGGAAAGCCTCTCCCCCCCGCGCTGCTGACATAGATCACACTGACCAGGGCTCCGAGCTCCCTCTCAGCCGCCTCTCCCGGAAAGAAAAAGCAGGAAAAGTGGGGAAAAAAATGTTTTTAAAAAATATGTTTTCCCTCCAGTGACGTGTAGCTCTAGATCGGTTAGCATTTTAACCCTAGGACCTGTTTGATCAATGTTATATTCCTCTGGGAGAAGTCTACATGCTGCTTATGTTGCTTATGCCATAAACAACCACTCCATCCTATCCAGAATATTTATCCCCCCTAATAATAATAAATATCTCAATGTGTATTTGAAATCACTGTACGGTGTTCTTTCAGTTCTGCACAACTTCGATGGTGTTGATTTTTCAGCATCATACAAGTGCTACTACTGCCACCTGCTGACAGAAGAACACCACTGCAGGGAGCTCAGAGGTTAATGCACATTCATTGGGGATGCTGTTATTTGACTGAAAGGTTTGTGATATTGCGTCGGGAAGTACAATCCATACTTGCATTACAGCCGGTGGGCTTACTACACAGATGAAGCGCTGATTGCATTTGTGTTCCTGTTTTCCCAAGTGCTGTGTTTTTTTTTGGGGGGTTTGAAATACCCTGAAGATTAAAGAAACATGTTAAAAATCGCATCTGGCAAACACATTACGAAGGCGGCCAGGGATCATTAACTGCACAGTATTCATAAATCTCCGTTTTCTATACAATCAATGGCTACTAGTAATTGCATTCCTGTTCCTCTTTCCTTTTTAACTGCTTGGGCCCTAGGACATGTCTTGGAATAATGTATCTATCTACCTGCAGATTCTTCCCATGCTGCCTTCTACAAGCCAGTCTCAGAGACAAAGGATCATGGGATCACACAGGGCCATGCCGAGAGAACTGAGATACATTCAGGAAGAGCTGATGAACAGGAATGACAGGTACTCGTGGCTCCAAAATCCTTCAAAAACATCACTTTGGTATCACAGGCTGTCTGAAAAGAAAGTGAAGTGTAACAAAAATCACCAACCAGTTTGCCTGCATTTCAGACCCTGGCACTCCTCAACATAAGACTTTTAAAAACCATGTGAACTTGCTGGCTGTCTTGGGGAGTAGGGGGGTAGATCTGAGCAGCCATTAAATCACATCATCTCAAGAGCCAGCCAAGAAGACTAGTGCTATCACTGCATCAGTGCGGGAGGTGAACTTCACATAACCTCAGCAAATAAGCTTGGACTCAGATTAAATATACGAACATCGGTTCTCTTCTCACGATTCCCAAGGGCCCGAGTCCAGCAGGTGTACTAGGTCAATGACAACTAAGTCATTTCTGAAACCGCATAACCCCTTCCTTCAGGATTAAAGCTTTATGAGCATTTCAAAAGCAAAATACCTGCTGGACTACAGACCAGGAGGAGTGAGATGGGAATGACCTGCACTGATCCCTGGACTCCCACAGCAAGCACACCGACTCCGACTCGCCTTTATAATCACTTGACAATTCGTTTCTTCCTGTCATTATGGCCGTCAACCTGCAGAAGACTCAAAACCCCCCATCAGCTTTTACTAGTGCAGTAAATAAGGTGCAGCTGTGGATCTTGCTGCTGGTGGAGCTTTTTCAAAAAGAAGTGGATGTAAGAATCACTCTAGTGGTTTATGTAAATAAAATGCAAACTCCCCCTTCTCACCTCCTCCTTCCACACATGGGGTATACCAGTAAAAGATCCTCTGGATTGCAGCCTGCAGGGGGATGCCAGGAAATAGGGTACTCCTTGCACAGTGCCCCTCATCTACGCAAAGCAGGAACAATGCTGTTTGAACAAAACAGTGAGCATAAAGGGGCTAGTTGAATTGTTTTAGTAGGATTATAAGATCACTTTATTAGTATATATTGTATATGTATTAGTACATGTACAATTTCTTGCATTAGGAATTTGTCTTTTCGAGTGCCCCAGCTTGCTCTCCATGAGACACACAGACAGGGAGAGAGAAGCTGTCAAGAGTGCAGGGTCAGCCATTGTACAGCACCCCCTGGAGCAGCTGGGGTTAAGGGCCTTGCTCAGGGGCCCAATGGAGTAGGATTCCTCTGCCGGCTGTGGGATTTGAACCGGCAAGCTTACAGCCACAGGCGCAGATCCTTAGCCACAGAGCCACCCCTACGCCCCTTTTTTTTTGTCTGAATGGAGTTTGATTAATAGAGCACACACACAACTCTAGATAAAAGGTATATCGCTGATTGCACCCTCCCAGCTGGGTACACCTACTGTAGATACACTGTCTGATCCCCCTCTGAGCAAAACTGGCTGACAGTTCTAAACAAGCGGGCTGCCTTTCACAAGTCCAGGTGCTGTGAAGTTCGGTATTTAATACACATGCAAAGACAAGATCAGGCAGAACTGCCCTGATTTTTTCCCATCACTCTCTTTTTTTATAATGGTCCACTTGAGCTGCCCTCTATCGAGCCAGCAAATGGGATTAAACATGAAACCCAGTGCCCCTGGGGATTAGTGCTTTTGGCAAAGTCGCCCATATGTGTATCATTACATGCTCATCGACTGGGCGGGAGGTCAGACAGGATAGAAACCCATCCCTGTCTCTTTGCTTTTTGCTCACTAGGAAAAGTTCTCTGGGAGGAAGCAGCAACTTCCAAAGAGGAGTAGTACCAAGGTATTGATATTGCAATTAAAAAGCACTGCTGTCAACTAAAATCACACTCAATTGTTACAAAAATCACAAACACTCAATCTCATTTTTGTGTACAGACTACACACAGAAGGAAAAAAAGGTTTTGAGATTATTCAGAACTTGAAAAAGCATGTTGTTATATTTCACCCACCTGTTTTGGATCCTTCTTATAATACATTTCAGTTGTATAACAAAGAAAGCAGTTTTCTCTCTTGGTAATTCAGTATGAAATTCAAATAAGGGTTTTATTTGAAGAGTGTGGGCCTACAGTAAATTCGCTGATGACCTCAATCAGTTTTGGCAGTTAAATTTACCTTCAATGGGCCACATTAAGCATTTGTGCTTGAATTTATCGAGTTATTTTAACTCCGAGGAAAACGGTACCACAGTTTTTCTGCTAGGGCGTTGGGGATCTCATTACCGTATTACTCTCATTCATAAATAAAAAAAAAGACATTCCCTGTACAAGACCAGTGAGCTCAAGGCTAGAGAGGTCTAATTTACGGATCTCAAAACAAGTATCCTGGTAGCAGTACATTTGTGGTGCTTCTTTACTAAAAAGGGAAAACGAAATTCACCGTCTTGGCCTGTCAGAGGGAAATGACGTTAATGCCTTCTGCTGAAAAACCGCTGTTATCTGCCCTCTTTCCCCATCGCATGAATGATTTTCAAACAAACAAACCAACCAGCTATTCTAGGCTTAATTTTCTTTTTTTTTTAATGACGAAGAAGTAAAATTCAGTCAATAAAGTTCTAATAGATAAACCGACCTCTCACTTGTCCAATCGAAACATTGCGATGGCTGTGTAATCCGATAGGAGCAGGCGAAGGGGATCAGCTGGCGAAATGGCGGGGCAAGTTGCCGAAGAGCCACTTTAAGAGTCCGGCCGCCGGCTGGCCATCTGTCCATTTCGCTGCCTTAGCTGCACGTGGGAGGGGGGTTTCTGGGCAGCTTTTACATCAGATTTCGTCGAGTTGGACAGGTCTGTACCGAAATATGGCATGCAGATGAAGGTAAGTCTGAAATCCGAAGAGTTGACGGTACCTCTATTGGGGACGCGGTTGAGGTTCATCTTGGGACACGTGTTCATGTTTTATCGCACTACACAGCGCCGAGGCGGGTAGGTTTGTTTAAAGGGTCTCAAGATGTGTTCCGTTTCAGTTACTGTATGCGGTTTTCTAATGCAAATAAAGATGTGTAAATAGCTTGCTTTTGGAGCCAGTATCTTGGATTTAACCAGAGTACGCGTGCGTGTTTAATGTTTAAACTACTTTAAACTGACTTAATCTTTTACTGATTCGGTGAAGTTTTATTTGGGTTTCCGTTCACTAGGATACAAAAGGATTAAAAACAAATGTAAACAGGTGCTTGGATAATCCCCTTTGCTGTTAAGTAGTTTACAATGGTTATTTGGAGGGTTTTTTATATATTATAATATTTTGCAATTGTCTTTAGAACTTGCTTTTTCAAATTGGGTAATTTAAACTTCATGACCGCTTTAATGTTTTCCAGTCGCGATAAGTGTCGATGCCCAGGTATTTAAAAACTTCAATGGAGGCCGATACTGTACAGTATTTAAAAACAATTCTTTGAAAAACCGTGACAAGAAATGAGCGGTTTAACAAAATAATAAATAATTTTAAGTTTAAAATTGTATTCCTGTTTTTGTAGTGAACCTGTCAGTTGTTGTCTTCACGTTCCTCGCGCAGCTGTACAGCAAAAAAAAAAGCCGAGGTTGGTTGCCTTCATTAAAAATAAATAAGGTGCAAATAAAATTTTAAAAAAAACTTACCCACAAATCTTTTCCCTTCTAAATGGATTGAAAAATAAGTTATATCAGAGTGCTTTGTGGTAAAGATATTATCTTCAAGATGAGCCTTAATTGCAGCCTCAGGACGGGTCGTCTTCTATTTAGTTCGCCTTTTCTCGACTGAAGCATTTGTAATGGAGTAGGTACGCAGTGCGGCGATACAAGTGTCTGAAGGCAATTATCAATGTTTGAGATTAAGTTAAAAAAACATTGACTACATTTAAAGAATAATACTAAGTTATGAAGTATGGCACAACATTTTACCAATTTAAATTCTTAGTTATACAAAAAAAGTAAGCTTTCATATAAATTGTAATGCAGAATTAGGAAGATCAGTAGTTAGCTTTTGAACTCTGTCTGGCCTTGCAAGGTCTTTTAAAAAAAAAAAAGTTTAAAAACTGAAACTGTGAAAACTCCAGCAGCCGAATATCCGCCTTGCATGTAAACAGGCCTATGGATTAGTAAACCCTAAAATGGATCAAAATTGTTCTGCAGCTGGAGTTGTATTTCCATCGCAGTGCTGTTCGTGTCATAAATGTAAAGTTTCATTCAGGAAGATAGCTGAATCATGGTGCTTAGCTTAAGTGAGTTTGTGCAGTTGTGCCTCTGTGCCCTTTCCTAATACCAAATTGTTTTGGGGCTTTCAGACTGTCTGGAAGCCATGGAGCCTTGGCACCATTTCATCCTCCTCCTGATCATCATGGTCACCATGCTCCTCCTGCTGGCTGGAGTCATCCTCTCGGTCCTCTGTTACTGCAGGTAAGACAGCACACCAGGTTGGACTGTGTTCACTTAGTCCAGCCTCCTCAGGAAGAACTAGAGCGGGGCGTGTTGACGTGCAGCTATTGCACTTGGAATACTCCAGCTCAGGGCTTCTCGGACTGTGGTCTTTTCAGTCCTGTCCTTCAAGGTGTGATGATTTGACTTATGGCTTGTTATAATGGTCCTGATGATTATCAATCAGATAGTTACAGAACTGGTTGGAGGAAATTTCTGCAATGAAGTGGATTGGAAAGGTTACTGGTTGAGTAGCTCTGCATGGTATGATTTACTGTAAGGGATCTCAAACCCAATTCCTGGAGGCTCAATTTGTAATTTGCCTAGCTCATTTGGTTGAGTGGAATTGTCTTGAGCTGGATCAAGTAAAATGCCATGCTAAAGTATTTACAGTATCTGACTTCACAAGCTCATGTAACTGGATACGTCACCCCTCATGCAGCTTTGCTTTAAGTTAATTACAGCACAGTCTATTTTAATACCCGTACTGTACACAGATGCTGCTGTATCTGTTCTCCTTTTGCCTTGAGCTGTTGATGTGATCAATACATAGTTCAGAAAACAGTCATCCTATCATATTTCATGCTGTTAGCAATCAGAATCATGTACTAAAGGCAAAGTGTGCACCAATCACGTGAAGTTATTCTTTGGTACTGCCATCTTATGCCTTATGCCATCAGGAGTCTGAAATGTTGGCCTTGATATCATGGTAGGATCATGGATGTTTGAGTGTGTATCCTCCACACCCTCTGAACTGTTTACTTGTGTGTGACAGAGAGAAAAGCCGTAAGTGGAAGGAGCAGACACGGTCAGCAGTGCCACGGATCGTCTACAAAGACCAGACCACCTCCACCAGTAACATCAGTGCCATCTTGGCCCTCATCAGGACCTCCACAGGGGTCCAGAGCTGCGAAACCCAGACCAGTCTCGTGGACGACTGTAGACAATGGAGTCGTACGGGAAGCTGCAGTAAGTCTAACCTGGCCACCTGTGCTTCCTCCACGCTAAGTAGCAAGAGCCAGGGTTTGTGCAGCATTAGTCTTGCCCTCACACAGGAAAATCTAGGCAACAGCCAAGGATCCAACAGGCTTTTGGACCCCACTGCTTCTGATGTGACTCCCCTGGGGCGCTGGAGAACAGAGTACGAACAGAGCCTCATGAGTGGGGTTCAGAGAATGCCCGACTCCACTGGAACTATGGAAAGTGGCACACTGGCCATGGAGAAACCCTCCTGCTGTTTCGCCAGACTCCAGAGCAGAAGGTTGAGCTCCTCCAGAAGTGGGACTAGTCCCGAAATCCTACCAGCACCTCTGGAATCTCCTGTTATCCCTGAGGCTTCCCGTAGCCAGACCAACAAAACTTCCAGCCTGCCCAGGGAGCTGAGCTATTGCACCTCAGGTAGCTCCAGGATCCACGTGTCCCAGGCAAAAGACGGAACCTCATCTAGAAGCCACTTGACCCAGGAGATGAGCCTCAAGAGCTCAGAAGGAAGTTCATCTAAGAAAGCAGAGCAATCCATGTTTTGCGGGCTGCTGGAATCCAGCTCAGTCCCGTGCACTTTGACAAGACCTGAGCCTGCCACCAGCAGGGTGGAAGGGGGTGCTGGGCATGTGTTATCAGAGCAGTCTCTACTAGAGAAGGCAAGGTCCAGCTGCCTTTTTCAGCCAAGAGCGTGGTTCATCTCCTGGGGGGACACGCTGAAACCAGCTCTGACGCAGCAGGAAGAAAAGGGGGGCAGTGTTGATTCCGGGGTGGACGTTTTCGAGAACTTTTACAGGAGAGTGGGCCGATCTGCCGAGGTGCAGGCTCCGATCCAAAAGGCAGGGCACAGGAATGCCACTGGTGCCGCTGGGGTACAAATAAGGTCTGAAGATGGGCGCTTGGGTTCAGGTGAAGTACAGAAATGGAGAGGTTCTCTTGAGCAGCAGCCTGACGGCATGGGCCAGCAAGGGAACAAGGCTGAGAAGGAAGTCCTGATCAGCCCCAGGGAGGCAGTGGAAAAGTTAGGAACACCCCAGTATGGAAGCAAGAGGACTCTATGGCAAAAGTGGGAGGACAGACCACTTATTGCTATCAACTGATGTACAGTAAATTAATCAAGTTTGAATTTCAAGAACATGGTGTCTGATTCAGGGCATTTTGTAGTTAGATCATGTAGCAAGTCTTTTTTTTTTTTTCTGAGCTCAACAAAAATATTGGAGGCTGTCCTGAAACTTGGTTGCAGGGCTGCTTGTGTTGTGCAGCCAGATTTCAGTGTTTTCATAGATAGTCAAAAAGTTTAATTGTATGGTCCATCCAAGAGCCTGCTGATTCAGTTCTATACATTTTTCTTATGGTGTTTAGCACTTCATTTACAGAAAGCTAGATATCCTAACTGATGGGGAGCTCAGGCCAACTGAGTAAAACACTGGAGGGAAACAAAAGGATAAAATCGCCCGCTCCCTCCCCAAGGAATTGAACTGGAGCTTGAAAGAGCGTGACACGAGCTACCTCACGACAGCTCGGTGTCATCTTCTGAATTAAGTTTTTATTCTTTTTAAACGCCACTCATGCTGCCCTTTTATGTATGTGAATGTTATTTATTCAATTTTTAACAACCATTCAGTGTCAATTTGTGCAATAAAAGTTCATTGACGGTTTTCCATTTATCATTTCATCCCCATGGGGAAATTCAGCAGTTTCCTCCTGCCTTCTTGAACAAAATAACACTGGAGGAAGCAACATTGAATTTCCCCCATCTTGCACTGGATATTCTCAACCCCCAGTTCATTTTTTTTTCAGTAGTTCCAAAGAACTGTATTAAGAAGGAAATAATTTTGCAAATTGTTTATTTAAAAAAATAATTTAGCATCCTTTACATTTGTCGACTATAAAATGTTCTAAACTTAACTCTCCTGCTAGAATCCGCGTTTCATGTGATTGGGGAGCTCTCTTCACTGACTCTTGCGATTTGTGCACTCCCAAAGTAGAAAAGACAGTATAAAAACATCTCGTACCCAGGCTTTGTGGAATGCGAGAAGGCCTTTCCCCAACAAGTGGTGCTTAACTTATAAAAGCTGGCAGCAAAGGTGGAATGTTAAGGCTACATCCAACATCCTTTTCAGATACTTGCCCACACCAAACCTGTATTAAGACCTACCACAAAAGTAAAGCAATGGTATCTTAAAAAGAAACCAAGCCTCTTCTGTGAGCTGGAGTAGAATGTCTTCTTTTTAGCTTTAAATTGACAGTGAGAGAATACTAATAAAAAAATAATAAATTCTGGTTCTGTTCATATATGCCTCGCATGCAACGTAATTGTCTTACTCTGGGCGATAATATGATAGCATATCACAGAACCTACACAACGAAAGGCCCTTCTCTCTTCTGAAGGTGTCCACACCCTGGCATGTTTTTACCACACTCACATCCTGAAAATGAGTCTTCTGTGCAAGGAAAAAAAAGCACACACTACTGTGTTAGTGTCTGCTCCTCTTTGAGCTTGGAGTTTTTCCACATGCCTCTTACCCTGAAGGCACACAATTCTTTATTAGGCCCAATGCAAAAGTGAGTTAGACAAGAGCTTGCTCACTTTTTTTTCTTTGGTGCTTGAACATTCACATAACTAAGTTCTTCTCAAATACAGTAAATTAAGCCCAATGAAAACACTATAGAAATATAGGACTTGAGCATTAAAACTCCATAATAACTTACTCTAAAGACTTAAGTTCTAGGCACTTCCATCATAATGTACAGTACAATAGCAACTGGAAATTCAATCTTGAGCTCTTAATCTATTTGCGGTCTATAATACACATAATTCATTGAGAGAGAGGCTTTACTCAGACAAAAACTGACCTCGTTTAAAAGTGCATTGTTCTCTTATTTCTTAATGTAGATAGCTAAAAGTCAAATGTCAGTCAGATGTCATTTGGGATCCAGGAATTTCCTGGGAAATGCAACACTTAACTCTCTCCTCTTCTATGGGATCTAGCAGGATTTTCTCATAGAGAAGACTATTCTCACAAGATCTTAAACCTTAAAACACCTCTCAGAAATAGTACAAAGTGTTGCCCTGAATCTTTTTTTTAGACCACAACTATTACAGATTCTACTGAAATATGTTGATGTAATGTATATGTGTATGATGTGTATATGATGAAATCTGTCACTCTAGTTTGTGAATGGGGTATGTGAGTGCTTTGTTATGGTCTTCCGATGCTAAAGCAGAACAGGACTTTAAACCCTCGTGGGTTTGGACTAAACCAGCATCCAAAAAATCTTGCACTGGGCACTGTTGGACAAAATGCATCTCGTACTCCTCTGGCCTTGCTGCATCTATGCTCGATCTCTTGTATTTTGTCAGACTCTTGTATTTTTGTAGACTTTCTTAGAAGATCTGTTTACTGATCTAAGCAGCTGGAAGTAAAACATAAATAAGCTTCTTGGTCCTCTAGCTGCAGTGAATTGGAAAACACATATGGCTTTACCCGGCTAGACAAATGCTGCACTGCCCATAAGACAACAAACATCACTATGAAGTCAACATTAATGGCAGCTTCTTTCCAGCAGAGACAGCCATGTGAGCTACAGAACCTCACTTGGTCTTCTGAAGCAGTCATCTTTGGGGCTCCCAACTCTGCAAAGCAGGTTTTCATGTTGAGTTTAGCTCCATTTTAATCTCCTAGATTCCACTGGGAACTCCTAGGCTACTTCTGTGCTGTCTGCAAGGCTCCATTTGGCAATATCCTGAATGCAGAGTTGGTTTCAGAAGCTCGTACACACTATGCACGGCCGTAGTGTTTTAGTGAAGTACAGTAGTGTCTCAATTGAAAGGCTCTGGAGCAGACGGCAGAGTTCGGCAGTTCAGTAGAGATGTGAGGCAGAAGACAGGCCGGATACCCTAGTGTTCCAGGTCCCGGGACAGCTGAGTCAGCCGGCGTTGATTGTCAATCACTCTCAGATTCTGGATGTACAGGCGGACAAGTGCAGGGCTGCGGAGAGTCACAGACTGCTCCGAACCTGGGAGGGAAGGAATCCAGTCATTCCATTTCCTGTTTAAGTCGGGAGATAGGCAGGCCTTACAGATCACTCAGCCATATTCCAGAAGGTTTTCTGCAGAGAATTAATTTAAACACCTGCCTCTAAAGACCCAGAGCAAACTCATTTGACCAATGAAGTAGGTCATCTTTTTGACTGACTAAACTAAAGATCCTCAGAAAAGAAAACATCAGCACCTCCTGCCTTTCAGGACCTCTCATGTCTTCACTAACCTAATTGCTTGCAAAATTGACCAAAATCTTTTCTAAAAGACAGATAAGAGTGATCTGTAAATCAGTGCTTGGTTATTACTTTCCAGAACCAGGAGTGGACATCTTGGGCAGAGGTCTAACTTGTTACAGAAACGGTATATATCTGGGACCATCTATGTGTCGTCTTTTGCCTCTCTCCTGTTAATGAGCCACATTCATTTTTCAGAAGCCGTGCCTGAGTTGAAAAAATCAAGGCCGCACTGAAAAGCCTTACCACAAGTTTGCGCCACTTACAGGTAGACACTCGAACTGCTGTTGTTTCCAAGAAAACCCGGTCAGTCAGGCCCTTTTGAGGAGAGGCTGGAACTGCAACAAAAAAACATAATGTCACTTCAAAGAAAAGAGCAGCAAAGAGCTGAAGAATTTATCTGAAAAGTGCACGTCAGCAAAAATATCCTGACAACTCATTTGTGTCTTTTTATAATAACATTGCAATGCTCTATACTGTACCATTTAGTTATTAACATTTAATGTTAAAGCTAGTGAGTGGCGCAGGTCCTTTCTGGACTTGGGGTTTTATCTGTGTGGATTTTGCATGCGTTTCCTCCAGGTGCTCCGGTTTCCGCCCACAGTCCACAGACATGCTGGCAATTGAATTGGCTTCTGTGAAAATTTGTGCGAGTGTGTGAATGTGTTTGTCTGTCTGTCCTGCGGTGGACTGGTATCCTGTCCAGGGTATACCCCATCTTGTGCCCTATGTTTGCCAGGATAGGCTCTGGCTCCCCTATGATATCCCTAAATTTATTGGATGTGTAGCCGACCTGAGTAAATAAAAATTGGAAAGCTTTCTGCTGGTACCGTAAGGCTGGCTCCTGCATTCCCGAACAATCTTCACTGTCTTGGCAATCATGCGCTGACAAAACAAACAAAACAGGAGAGAGGAAATGGATGTAAACAGAGTCCAGGTCACAGTAATGTTTTAGTGCTCATGTAAATCAGTTTCCTTCCTTTATCCATAAAAAACTTTCAAACCCAAGTTCAACAACCTGTTGGTCACTTGATTCTGAAGCTGTAGGTGAGAGACTGAGGGGTACTTTTGCAGGATTTTGTTTCTGCAACAATTATAATCTGGCTATGTAAGTGCTTTTTAAGAAACGCAAAGCACTTTACAACAAAGACACATCTCAGACTGCCGGACTGTCCGGCAAAGTGCTCTGGAGGCAGACAGCTCATGGAGTAGAAATGAGCCAGAGCGACAAACAGAAGATGGAGGCAGATCCCAGCTACCCGTGTGGGCCACTACTGATACTGAGGGGTCAATGTCCAGAAATTCAACAATTGAATTCGCAAAAGAAACAGCAAAAATAATAAGCGAACAAAGGACTACTGATGAACTAGCAACTAGCAACTGGGAAAAACCAGGCAGAGAAACAGACGCCAAGGCAGCCCAGTACCATCTCCCAGATGGGAGCTCCATCGCAGAGCAAGACGTTCCTCCAGGGCTGTAAAAACTAACAGAAACCCAAGACAGGCGGCTGAACTCATCCAGGCTTCTAACATAGTTTTTTCTCCCCCCTTTTGTTTTTCACCACTGGCAAACCGAAAGACCTCACCTGCCCCCACCTCGGTTACTTGGCTGGCGAGACACAACCCGAATGTCTCTAACACCCATGGATTTAAAAGGATATAAAGCCTCCGCTTGAATTATGCAGCTAATTTTTGATTCACCCTCATCTCCGTTTGTGACTCCTTTGTCACTTTGAATAACGGCTGCTTTGTCAGTGTAAAACAATCAAAACATGACAAAAAGAAACTGTGCCGTGATCAAATCGAGCCGTTGACACACTCTGCAATGGCAAATCCCAAATCCAGCAAACCCACAACTCTAGGGCGACTTTCCATTATAAGGAGGTCTCTCTCGGACAGACGGCGGCTGTCAGCTGATATGTTTGGAATTTGCTTTCAGGGGGCTGGAGGTCTGCTTCCAATCCTGTTCTTTCGTTTTTGGAAACCGAGCCAGTCAATTGAGACAAGTAACCTCTGAGGTCTCTCCAAGATGCAGCAGCCTGCCTGTCTTTGAATGAAATCTTACCATTTTCTCAAAGTTCACCAGACCTTCGATATGGTTCTTGTTGCCTTCATGAATAAATGTCATATCTGTTCCAGAAAAAAAAAAAATCACAGAGACTCAGTTTTAAGAAGAAGAGAGGAGCTGTTCCAGTTTTTATTTTTATTTTGCCTTTTGCACTTTTACCTGTTTTTTTTTGCAATGTTTTGCCAAGTGACTACATTTTTAAGACGATGTTGGTTGGTTATTGCCCTGTTTTGTGTACCTTCAACATGACGGGTTAAGGAACTGGACAAATCCCATCAAAGTAGGTTTAAAAGTTACTTCATACTTCCCAAGCCTCACAGAGAGTAACGGGAGTCAGGAGAATTTAGTGTACACATCCACATAAGCCAGACTGAATGTGTCTCCACTGAGATTCTTTCAGCCCTGTTCTGCTCGACATGGTGCCTACACTGCTGCCAGGTGTGTCATTTTCCCTGCAGAGACACTTGCAGTCTGTCTTTGAGATCACACATGTCCTGGGACTTTAATGTAGCAGTGAATGGAATGGGTACCTTTGTGGGTGGCAGTGTTTGCTAGAAGCATACGTGCCAGCATACTGTATGCACCCCAGCGGCGGAGTAACTTAGCAGTTACCTCATATTCTCCACTTGTGCGGTCTTAGCGTTTTCGATGACCTGTATGAAAGCTGCCAAGGCACTTACTTACCTTTTAGTAACAGCGGCATGAATGGAATGTAAGGAGAGCTGAGCTTGGCGACAGCCAGTCTGTAGGCCCTGTGGTTGCGAGAGGGGTCCTGAGAAAGAGGTGCATGTCAATGAACAACTGTGTCACTCGGCCGAAGACCTCACAGGTGCCTGACAGGTGCCTGACAGGTGTTAGGAAGTCAGGGCAGTCCGGTCGGGAGGCCAGGGAGATCTGTACAGTTTAGGCCCTGGCTTCACCATTGACGCAGGGCAGCCTTTGCGCGAGTTTCTGAATCTCCCGGTGCTTCCTCCCTTGGGCAAGATAGCAAACTGTTCTGTGGTGAGTCTGCAGCAGATGGTCTTGATGCATGGCTAACCCACTATTATCCAAAGTGCTTTGCATGCAGTAGTATCTGCTGAATGAGTACTTAAATATTGTTTTTACAGTTGTATGCAAACGTTTGGGCACCTCCAGTCAAAATGCATGTTTCACAAAAAAAGTATTAATGATTTGATTGGAAGGGTGCCCAAACTTTTGCATGTGCCACATTCACTGTTTTTCAATCTGTTAAACTCAGTAAATAAATAGTAATTGTACATTACTATGCCAGCAGCCATATCACCCTGCAACTCACAACTGGCAACCCACTGAAGCTCAGCAGGTGTGAGCCTGGTCAGTACCTGGATGGGAGACC